TACTGTATCCTGACTAAATGTAACCAATGTAACATTCACTGATCCAGTGATGATGTCTGTCTTTTATTCTCCTCTACAGAGCAGCTTCAGCAGAGTTCTATAATAGAGAACACCACCAACCAGGTACTCTTTACACAGCTGCACTGTTATACTGTTACAGTAGATCTGGTAGCATCTTGCTAAGGTCAACATTCAACTTAAAGTAGATCTGTTGCAACTTTCTAAGTTGCTTAAGTTTGCTTAATCTTCTTTCTGTTTCTGATTGAAATATCTAGCGAATTCCAAAGTAATATGTTTGTGAGGGGGGTTCTGGGGTGGTAAGTTGCACTGATATCATACACATTGTCTTCACTCCAGAGTTTCATATTTTATTTATTTATTTATTTATTTATCTATTTATTTATTTATATTTATTTATTTATTTATTTTAAACTGCAGGATATAAAAGGTACCTTGATGAACCTTTCTATAAGAACATTTAAACAAACATGGACATGTACTGTACCTTACAGTGTACTGCCACCTAGTGGAGATTTAAATTTATTTCAAACATAACAACACTCTGAATTTGAAAGTGTCAGTACTATGCTAAGAATGATCCACCACCCAAATAATATCTGGTCCATTGATAAATGAGGAAACTGACCAATGATAAAGAAGAACTGCTGACCACAACATCATCACAGCACTGAAATGACTGAAAACGCTATGTATTCAATGTTTATATATTTTGGAATAAGTTATGTCAACATATACAGCATATCTAATTTATATTTTCACTGAGCCCTTGGCTCATGGGGCACCTAGTTGACTGCCTACCTTTGCTTAAGACTGTCCCTGAGTGACAGCACCACACTGAGCAGAGTGACCTGCCACGAATAAAGACAAGAGGATCAAATTTGTCCATGCTAAGCAGTTAAAAGGTAATAGATCAATGTTTGTGGATTCATTTCCCAATATAACACTAACCCTGAAGGAAACTCCTTTCTTTCAGTCCACACCCAAAAATGAGAAAAGTGGTTCAAGAAAAGTGCTGTTTTATAGTCCAGAAGGAGAAAAAAAAGCAGTTCTGTCCTTCACCACAAGGGGGCACTTAATCTCCACCATCTTCAACCTATCAGCACATGCCTGGAGGTCAACTATAAAAATCACAAAATATGAAGAACACTAACTCACACACACACACATACACACACACACACACACACACACACACACACACACACACACACACACACACACACACACAAACACACATACACACACACACACACACACACACACACACAATAAAACACAGTACAGCATACATTTACAGCATAGTTTTCATATCTGTAGCAATACAAGTTCACATTACTAAAAATGTATAATTTGATGCCATTTACCAGGTAGTTTTTAATCTGCCCAATAAAGAGATGAATCTGTGAGTGTTTAGAGCTCATAAACTCCAACTTCAAATGCAGATAATACAGGTTTGTTATGTTGCAGGTTAAATAGAGTTTTAAAGGTGATATTATACAGATCTCTCACTCAGTAAAACAGACTTCTGCAGGGATGTTAATAACACTTATACATTATTCAACAACAGACTTTTTTCCATCAGTCACTGTGGACAGAAAGACAGAAACTGAATAGCTGTGAAGGCTTTAGAAATCATTCAATCTCTTCTAATGAGTGTTTACAGGAGCAGTAAAAGCTTTTCTCCTGTTATGATCAATTATGATTTGATCTATTAGGATCTTTCTGTTGGTCTCTGTGCTTCTGTTGAACTCACTCACACGTCAGGGGCTGGTTCTGTGTTTTTGTGGCAGCCTCCGGTGCAGCCCCTCATTTGCATGGGAGTTTACTAAGAAAGAAAGGTGAGGGCTCCAACGAAGAGTTTGAGGCACAGCTCCAGCTGATAGTGTGGTTTAACTGCTGGTAGGAGGACCTAAAGCTCGAACTACAGGGATCTCTTCAAAATCAGCAACTGTCTTTTTTTCTTTATCAGCTTGACTTTAGAGACTTTAGACACAGAAAGTGTCAATGATTATTATACAAATGCATTTAATTTGTTTCTTACAAGAACTTGGAACCAATGTTGATTGTTACTAAGATAACTAGCTAACAAACTTTGCTTTGTTTCTGATCTATTATGAGGTGTCAGAGAAATACAAGAAAGAAAATTATTATTTTTCTTGCATAAACTCTCAAACAGTCCACCAAATTATAAGGGGTTGACTTAAATTTGTTGCTTTCTGACTTTTTCACAGCTATGGTGTTAAGAAATGTTCCTATTGGTTGGACCACCTCTATTGTAAAGGTGGGGCTGCTACCCAGCTTCAAACTGTGGATGCTGAAGGGCTGGATGATGGTGACAGTGAGTCAACTGTGCCTGGACAGGGCCTTCAGATTTGGGTTTGACAGCAGGGCCATTGCTTTGGGCACCTATTCTGATCAACTGGAATCAAGAACGTGTGTGTTGTGGGCTTGGACCTCATGTTACAATGGGGTTCTACACTTCACCAAGCCTGGAAAAGAAGGAAGTTCCTCTCACAGGTGACAGACAGGTTTAGTGATGAAGAAGATCTGAATGGCAGATTGCTCTGCCTTGGACATCTACAGAGGGTGAGCAATCAACTAGAGACAGAGTGAGGCAGCCTGCCTTGAATTTGTATTTGTTCATAATGGAGGAAAACAGACAGAACAAGTCATGCTTGGAGGCCAAGAGGGACTATGTGGTGATTAGCTGAGATGGTTGATTGCTATGGGGTCAAGGTGATCATATACAGACTGTGTGGGAGGGGCTATGAAGAGATGGAACACCAGTTATGCTGGTCCCTCATGGATGGAGTTTTGGACTCTTCTGGACTGGATTTATGGGATTGTTTTGTGGATCACTGGGATGGATCACAGTAAGAAGCTGGAAACTGTAAAGTTGGAGTCTAGTCCAGTAAGCAACTGGAGAATTTAGATTTTGGTGTTGAGGCCTGTTCAGGGTAGATGATGATTTATTAGTCCAGCATTGATAAAATGCAGTTTCCCTCAGGAGTTCTCACCTTCTGTCTTCTACTTTTTGATGAGTCTGGAAAATGAACACAGTAGCTGTCATTCTGGATTCTCATAACTATAAGCTATGATGAAAACAATGTAAATGACAGCCACAAATATAAAGCACACACATATTACTCATCATGATGGACACATATGCCAAAAAACAATTCAGTGCCACAGACAAACATATTTACCATATACAGTGGTGTCCAGAAGACTGAGCTCAGGTTGCAGTGTTGATCATTATGATTTAGATTTTAAAACAAAGAAATGTGAAGATGAAATATTCAGTATTAGGTCACTGTGTAAACAGAAGCAGATTATAACATCAACCATGTTTAATAGAATGGTTAGATTTTTTTTTTTTATTTCAAATATTGATTTGAAAAATAAAATCGCTAAATATCCTGCTGACTGCAGAGTGAATAAAAAGACAGAAAACCCCTGTTGCTTTGAAGATATTTTAATGTGTTATTTGTTTGTCCAGTTTCTGTAGCTGCACTCTGTGTCTAAAGAAAGCTGCTACGTGTCCTGTGACAGATATAGATGAGCTTCCTGTGGAAACTTTGATGGTGAGATGGGGCTGTTTTTCTGAGAAACCTGGTCAGGGGTGGTCAAAGAGATCTGCAGAGATAAAGCAGTGAAACTTCAGCAGTGCAGTAGGAGAAGGAGTGAGACGTAGAGGACAACAAAGAGCTGTGAAAACCACCAACGGCCTAAACAGCACCTACAAGCAGAGGCGTCCACTGACACGTCAAAGACTGAGTTTCACAAACACACAAATAAGCACAAACATTTACGCTACCTTTCTGAAATGTGGAACCACTTGTTGTAAAAATCATTCTTATTTTATATAAACTAATAACTGAATGAATCAAACAATAATGATATAACAATTATAAAATATACACATTGAGACTTCCTTCATGCTCATTTTATGAACATGACTTTGTTTCTACTGCTTTATCACTTTAGAGTCACCTACCATCTAACACATATAACAGTTATTGTTTTTTGTGTACACTTTTCTTTAAGAAATTGGTCTTATTAAACACATTTTGAAGAAAGGGTGCTTTTCTATTGCATAAAACCCTTGAACCTTTGGCTCTTGTCTGTTTTGTTTTTTTTTTGTTTGTTTTTTTTTGTTTTGTTTTTTTCCACTAGCCATCAGTCCAGTACTGAAGATTGGCCATCAGTCCAGTACTGAAGATTCCAGTTTTATGGTTTTTGGTACTCAAGATTAGAACCAATAGGACCTATTAGCACTCAGCGTTGTTCTCCTTTGTTTTTAGTAACACTTGAAGCTGAAGTCAACTCTTCTAGGTAAAGATAAAGTCACTAAGCACCATAACATCACCAATAAGTACACTAGAATGTAAACTAGAATGGTATGTTGACATATTGACTGCTATTTTTTAGAATTTTTTACTTTGTAAAGAACCACTAAGTTACTCAGCAAGGAAAATATAAACTTTTTTCATTCTACAGACGAAGCTGTGTAAGCGAGAAAGAAAGGAAGTGGGGGACGTCTAAAGGAGAGAGAGGACGATATCATTGGTAATTGTCACACAGTGATGAAGGAGGAGCCTCAGTGAGGACAGGAGCAAACTCCGCCCACAATGTGCCCAACACTTACATGCATCATGACTGAGATAATCTGAAACACTATTTAAAGCTCGGATTCATCATGTTTACTTTATTTGCATGTTTGCACAGGTTACAACTCACAGAACAACATTTGGCAAGTAAAGACAAAGTGTAATAGAACAAAAAAAGGTCTTGTTTTAAGAGATAATGGTAAACACTACCATTTAAAAACTCATTTATTCTTTTTTTAAGAAGAAGCTTGTTTATGAGTTATGACTCATCTGGCTCTGAGCACTGCAGTTCAAAACTTGACATGATCTTAAAGGTTAAGATGTCAGATTTGCGTCTGTAAGAGTCACTGTTACCTCTGGTTCCATCTCTATTGCTTTAACTGTACTATTAACTACACTTTTATAACTTATAGCTCTGCCAGTTTGCATTATAGTCCATGTAGTTATAATAATAATAAGCTTTAATAATAATAATAATAATAATAATAATAATAATAAGCCTTAGTTTGTAATAAGCCTGTGATTTTAAGGGTTAAGCCCATCTGACCAAATATAGTCCGGTAAACAGAACAGGAGTCTGTTCAGAGTCATAATGTATGTAAATTTATAACTAACTGAAGCTTCTCACTTCAGAGTAGACACTGTCTTGAGGCCGTCCTCTCTTCTTCTTCTTCCTCCCTTTTTTAGTGTTCCTCTCAGAGAAGTGCAAAGCGGCATAATTCAGCTCCACAGTGTCTTGGTCCTGCAGTGAAATGAACATTTTATACATACTTTTTTATGATTCTTTCATTTGCTTATCTGTTGATCAAGGTTAACCAATAAATATAGAGCTGGTTTTCTGTAGCCAGGCACATGCAGAGATAGACCCCAGAGGAAGCTTGAACCCCTGCCTCAGAGTGTAAAAGTGCCCTCTTGGTCTGCATGTAATAATAATAATAATAATAATAATAATAATAATAAGAGATCCCTCCAGATCTGTTTCAGCGAGACTCAGCTCAGCGTCGCCCCAGGAATAGAGCTTGTGGGGTGGCTCAGGCTCCACAAGCTTTACTGCTCTTGAGCGCCCTCTCTGGTGCAATGCTGACCCCTTCTAGCTTTTATTTCAGTAACTCTGACCTGACACCAGTAACCTCTGTAAAAGATCACTTTGCATAATGTGCTAATTTTTGACAACAGCCAGTGAAACTGCAGGAAGGGGTTATTCATTTGATAAAGTTTTTTTATAGGCAAATAATTGGGATTTAAGCCAGACTCTATGAAGGCCTTAAACAGAGTTGTAGTGCTTGTAGCAGTTGGATGGCATAGTTGGTAATATTATGGTGTTGTACATTGGAGCTTGTTGTTCAAATATCAGTTTAGACAGTAACATTAGTAAAAAACACTCTTAATACTTGTATTTACATACTGTATTTCCCTCATAATCAAACTTGCTCTTTGGTTGCAATATGCTGTAAATTAAGTTTAATTCAGGTTAATTTTGCCCTTTTTCCTTGAGCCCTGGCCCCCCAAACATCCAGTTAAGTTGCTACTCAGTGTCTTCCCTGAATGCCACAAACTGCAGGCCCACTTTATTCCTTTCATTATTGTTACGTGCTTTGCTGGCACTATAGTTTGACATTGCTTAATAAATGGTGCTGTGTTCCTGTACTTAAAGGGGAACAGTCATGTTGGTTGTTCTTAGTGTGGGGAGGTGCTGTGCTAAGCTTTTACTGAATTACATTTTCACAACAGAAAACATTTTTCTTACTCCTGCTGTGTGTTGCAGTTGTTATGATCATAGCCATTCAGCTCGACGGCCTGTTGTGCTTTCGTGCGGACAGAGACGCTCAGCTGTGCTGTAAGACTCGAGGTGGGGAACTGTGCGTTCACTTAACACTGAATGGTGTAGAAACACGGCACTAGTCTCTAGTCACTGCTCACCGCTGGTGGAGTTTGCGATTGTCAGAGCCAGGCCTTTTTATTTGCCAAGAGAGCTGACTATGCTGTACATAATAGCGGTGTACATAGCCCCCAGTGCTAATGCTAATGCCACACTGAACGAGCTGTACAGCGCTATCAGCAATCTCCAAAACACGCATCCAGACGGACTGTTTATTGTTGTTGGAGATTTCAACCATGCTAATCTGAAGTCAGTGCTCCCTAAATTCCACCAGTATGTGGACTTCGCAACCCGGGGGGATAACGTGCTGGATCTTGTTTACACAAACATCCCCGGCATGTACAGGGCCGAGCCCCGCCCCCACTACGGCTACTCAGACCACATCTCTATGATGATCATTCCAGCATACAGACCACTCATCAGACGTGCCAAACCAGACCAGAAGAAAGTGAGAACCTGACCGCCAGGAGCTATCTCTGCTCTTCAGGTTTTGAGCACACTGATTGGGAGATGTTCAGAGAAGCAGCAACTTCCGGTAACTCCATCAGCCCGGAGGAGTATACAGAATCAGTGACTGGCTACATCAGCAAGTGCATTGATGATGTTACTGTCTCCAAACTCATCACTACACACCCCAACCAGAAGCCATGGATGACTGCAGAGGTGCCTATGCTGTTGAGAACCCGCAACAAGGCTTTCAAGTCAGGGGATAAGGCAAGCCTCAGGATAGGCTCATGAGGCACATTAAAGACCAGCTCCCTCCTTCACTTGACCCACTGCAATTTGCATATCACCCCAACCGCTCAACAGACGACGCCATCTCCACAACACTCCACCTGGCTCTCACCCACCTGGACAATAGAGACATCTATCTCAGAATGCTGTTCATAGATTTCAGTTCAGAATTCAACATCATTCCTCAGCAGCTGATTGGAAAACTGAGCCTGCTGGGCCTGAACACCTCCCTCTGTAACTACGTCCTGGATTTCCTGACTGAGAGACCTCAGTTAGTCAGGATAGGTAATAACATCTCCAGCACCACCTTAGTGAGCACTGGTGCCCATCAGGGCTATGTGCTTAGTCCGCTGCTGTTCACTCTACTGACTCATGAATGTATGGCAAAGTACAGCTCAAATCACATCATCAAGTTCACTGATGGCACGACTGTGGTGGGTCTGATCAGCAAGAATGATGAGTCAGTGTACAGAGAGGAGGTGCAGCAGCGAACGGACTGGTGCAGAACTGACAACCTGTCTCTGAATGTAGACAAACCTAGGGAGATGGTTGTTGACTTTCGAACCCCCCACTCAACATCACTGGCTCTGCTGTGGAAATTGTCAGGAGGATGTCATTGTGCATGACCCCATCCATCCCTCACATGGACTTTTTTCACTTCTCCCGTCTGACAGAAGGTACCGGAGCATCCGGGCCATCAATGCCAGACTCTGCAACAGCTTTGTTCCTCAAGCAATCAGGTTTTTAAACTCAAAAAGACTGATCTAAATACCCCCCTCTCACACATTCTCTCACAGACACATCTCTTTTGATGCTCTGCTTGCACTATCTGGAACATTGCTGCTTATACTGTGTTTACATTGTTTTACTACCTCAGTACTGCTGTGGTTATGTATGTTATCTGACTGCGTAAACTCACAGATCACAGCATGTTAAATATCTCTGCACCTTATTCCACAACCTCATGCTCAGAAATGAGTGCTGTGTCAGTGCTGCACTGTCCTGTCTGTTTACTGTTTCTAATGTCTGTTTAATTTATTATATTATTGTATTGTTTCTAGTTTAATATTTTGTTTGCACACTGTCTGCACGTTCGCACTTTGTACTTTTTGTTCCTTGTTGCACCGTGTTTTTCCTGAAGGAACATAATTTCACTCCACTGTGTACTTGTACATAGATGGAATGACAATAAAAGCCTCTTGACTTGACTTGACTGCATTTATGCAAGACAAGGTTATCCTTGAGTTATTTGTTTTTAGTTTTAGAAACATTTTAGGAGTTTGTTGAAGAGTCATACTAGCCAGACACAGGGCATGATCACCATGTACCCAGCATTAAAGTTATTTTAATTAAAAATAAATAAATCAATCAATAAAAAGGAATCTACTGATAATTTTATTTGGTAAAGAAGGTACTTTTTTGTAGATACTTTCTTTCTTTCTCTCAAGTATATTTTTGGCTCTATATTTCCAGTTTCAATCGTTTAAGATTTTGACACAGTACTCAGACTTTCACTAGATGAATCTGTGTAGTTTAATATGGTGAAGTTTTTTGGTAAAGTATATTTTCTCTGTATTTTTTACAGTTTTCCTGGCAGATCTGTCTTCATATGATGGGTTTCGTTTCAAAACACATCATGGATCACTTTCTGTTTTTTTCATGACATACATTGTTGGCAGGTTATTATCATCATCCTTTATTAAATAAATAAAAAAACATAGCTAAATGATTACAAATGGTCATATAATACTTTTAAATTAAAATCTGTGTATTTTAACAGAATCATTCTTCTGAACACCAAACAGTCTGACTGCAAACTGGATCACTTAACAGAACCATCCCATCATCAGTCACATGAGCTCCACAAAGCCAGAGAGATTTTATATCATTAGTCTTCATCCTCTTTGACCTGTCGACCACCTTTTACAGATAACATAACATCTATATCCAGATCTCACTGATTCCTATATGTGGCTATGATAGGACTGGTGGGTAGCATTTCATAAAAACAGACCCCTGTAAACGGGACCTTAATCATTATGTAATGGTTTGTGAGAGAACAGTTATGCATTTCACTTATACATCAATAAACTTTAGATTTTTAATAATTCTTTTTTTACCTGTTTGTTTTTTAAGCTTTTGCTCAGGAATGTAAATGATGTTCAATAAATATATTATATTTAATTTTTTAGTAATAATAATAAGTAATGCAATATTTATAAATACATTATATAGTAAAGTAAAAATGTCAAAATTAGAGAATTAATTAAAATTTATTAATATATATTCACTAATTAATAATGATCCACCAAGCTTTAAGTAAATTTCATGCATAAAAAGTTTAATTGTTTAAAACAGGATGTGTGCAATTATGAATTAATTATTCACAATTATCATAAATTGTTGTAAACTATTATTAAGTATCTGGTGCTTTATTTCACTTTGGTTTGCAATGTTAGCTCGTTTTGTAAGTTCCTGTGGATAAAATCATGTCCCAACTAAATAAATATGAATTTTAATTTATAAAAAAGACTGTTTTTCCATTTCCAAAATCTGAAAGTTAGTGTTTTTGCAGAATGTTTGGTCAGTTACCCTTTCATTTCCATAGAATATATGTTTGGTATGATTTCCCAATAAATAATGATGGCGTACCTGGCGCTGTATATCATCTGCCCCTGAGAGATCATGTGTGACAGGGTGAGGTTTATTGCCTTGAAATTCACAGATAAACAGAATATTAGAATCACTGTAGAAAGGGGAAAAATACAAAATATTCTGATTCCTCAATTAACTCACCTCGGCAGTGTTTACAGATGTTACATTTCATACAGAAGCAGCACAGTGTGACGTTCCAGACAGCACACAAACCCAGAGCCAGTCCCATCACAACAAGAGCTGAATGATGAGACTTGGAATGATCTAGAAAATAGAGACCAGACCTTAATTTCATACACTTTTAGTAGCTTCAGCTGTTGTTTCAGCTTTAAGTATCATTAAGTGAATTTCATTCATCAGGGGAAAGAGCAGAGAACATATATTCAATAGAAATAATACAGAAGTCTCTTCATTGGGCAGGTGGTAATATCAACCTTAATCTTCTCATACATATCTAACGAAAAATGAATAATTTGTATGGCTGGAAATTGAGTGAAGGGCGGTCTATGTCTTTTGCACTGCACTGTATAATTGCAATGCAGTTCATTTGAATTCAGTAAGTTACTGCATTGTGCAAGAATCCACTAATTTCTAAAAAATTAAAAATAGCACAGCCGTATTCACAGTTTTAACTATGTTTATTCCTACTAGCACCTACCTATTTCCACAGTTGATCCAGTCCCAAAAATGATCTTCCCACAAGCAGCCACAGCGCAGTAGTAAGTTCCAGTATGGTTGTGGTCGAGGATGTTCTTGGAGAAGTTGTATACAGAGCTGTGTGTAGAAGAGCTGATCTCACACTGCCGGCTGCTGCTGTTCTGATGAGTGTAAATGATTTCAGGAAAGGATTGTCCTGCAGCAGCTCTGAACCAGAGCACTCGGAGTTCTGCTGCTCTGATCTCAGAGAGGACTGTGCACTGCAGAGTGACCGACTCTCCTGGAGAAACTGAGCCCCATACTGGAGTTTGGAGCACTGATACATTCAAATGAGGATGACCTGGTCAATGTAATACAGAAGTTTTTAAACAACATCCACTGTGCATATGAAGTCGTGAAGGTCTGCCAGCCTAATATAATACAACAAATGGATATTCACAGGCCAAAGCCAAGACTTGCTAGCAGGTCCAAACTTTTATTAAACACATCTATAACTTAAAAAAAAATATATATTAAATAATATACAATGCAATGTAATATACAATATAAATAGCAATATGGGTAATTATTACATAAAATTACCTGTAATAGCTAAGAATGTTCCAGTGGAAAACTTGATCATCATCATCACAGATATCCCACAGTAGTACATCGCTTCATCATCTTTTGTGGGGTGTGGTATAGTCAGACTAACACTGTTCTCCACTCTCTCCAGTTTGAAGCTTGAGTTTTTGAATTGTGATGAAAATACTGCTTCCATAAATGCCCCCTTGATGCCCACCTCCTGAGGCATTTGTCCCACTGGCTGTTTGTACCAAAACACGTCTTCATTACGCTGATGGTCAGCCAGTGTGCACTGAAGGGTAACGGCTTCACCAGACTTAGCAGAGACAAACGACTGTTTCTGGTAAATATCCACAGTTTCTGCAGCATCTATACAAGAATTATTGACTAGTCAGTTTTAAACAAAACTATTAGCGATGGATAAAAGCAATTTCAGATTAAGTTAAGATTATTACATAATATTAAAAAAATATACCAATAAAACTTACATATTTCACAGACAGACACCATAAGAATCCAGGCTGAAACCGTCCTCATGACTGAAATGACTGACACTTTGAGTAACATGTTTGAAAGGAAGCAATTGACAGACCAGGCTGGTTTTGCCTGATGAGCTTACAACATGCTCACCTCATTGGCTGACGCAGGTCGTGGGTTACAGCAAATGTCTTTTTCCTTCACTTCTTTTGTTACCTCGTTTGACCACCAAAAGCCCCCCTGGCTTTAATCTTGCTGTCTATCACTGGTGGAGAAAGTGCAGAGATATATCCAAGTTAAAGTTGTGAAAAAGTGTCATTATTTAAAGAAAACAACTTCCTTCACAATGAAATGAGCAACAGCAGGAATGATGTTCATTTTAATTAGTGAAAACACTTTTTTGTGTTTTCCATTTCCATATTTAAAATAATACATCTTAGCTTACATTTTACTTCATAAAGCTCTAACAGGAACCAGGACTCCTCAAAATTCAGTTTATAGTAGCTGCACTGGGCTGTGTGTGGCTCTTGACCAGTGAGGAAGAATAAGACCCTCCTTACTCTAATATAGGGATGGTTGAACTGACTAAGACCAAAGTCTCATTTACAATTTGGTCCTGTAAGACATACAATAAAATAGTACAAGTATATAGTAAATGAAAACAAAGTACTACTTCAATTAAAGGTAAAACAAGTTTAAAATAAACAAACATGTACAAAATGCAAATGAATCAAACAAAACCAATAGAACAGTTATAACAAAAAAGACATACATTTGATTTGATTAACAGTATTTTAAATTGACTGAACAGTAAAAGATTCTCTGAACATTACATTCAAAACATGTCAGTCATTGTGTCTAATGCATTTTCCATTTATTCTGACTAAGGAAGGATGAAATGTGAAGAAGTACCTGTTTCAAAAGAGTTTTGTAAATACAACCCTTTTTCAATCTTTTTCAGGAAAGACCTTGTTTATTTTAGCAAGACAATATAAAACCACATTCTGCATATGTTACAGCAGCATGGCTCTATAGTAAAAAAGTTAGGGTGCTAAACTGGCCTGCCTGCAGATCAGACCTGTCACCCACTGAAAATATATAGTCCATTATGAAATGAATAAAACAACAAAAAATTACCATGAACTGCTGAGCAACTGAAATCCTACATCAAACAAGAATGAGAAAACATTTCACTTTCAAAACTACAGCAATTGGTCTCCTTAGGTCCTGAACACTTACTACAGAGGTGATGAAACACAGTGGTAAACATGCCACTGCCCCAACTTTTTTGGAATGTGTTGCTGCCATTAAATTTAATTTGATGGCATATATTCTTTTAAAGAACAATACATTTTCTCAGTTTTAGCATTTGATATGTTGTCTTTGTACTATTTTCATATAAATATAGGATTTAAATGATCTGCACACACAACTTTCTACTTTCAGAAGAAAAACTCAATTTCTATATAACAATCCCAGCCTAATTCTAAGTTTTAATTGATTTACTCATCACTGTGTCCTAAAAGATCCTATACAAATTCCCAAATAACTAATTTGAAACACTGTCAACAACTGTACCATTCAAATGTATTTACATGTACTATAAACTATAATCTATAAACTATAAACTTCATGAGATCTGGAAAACAACATTAGGCATTAAGGCGTAATATTGTAGTTTATTTTAGCTTCAAAATAAAACATCAAACAAACAGACAAACAAACAAGCAAACAAATAAACAAATACTAATATTGGAATTGGGATTTGATGTGTGTGTGTTTTTCGACTTAACAGTGGAACTGAGGTTCTTTTGAATGAAGCATTCTTTTTTCCACTTAATATTAAGATCATGAAAGGTCATAGAAAAATCTTTATATTTATTTGCCTCCAAAAAATTGAATAGAGACCAGTTGCTAGGTCAATATCACTTTTATTATTAATAATAATTGTATATTATTATAATAATTATTATTAATAATAATTATATTATTGTTGTTATTATTATTATTTTTATTATTATAATTATTATTGTATAAAATTAACTATATATGAATTGCTATCTGTTTTTCCTTTCATTATACTCTTGGTCCTGGCTGGGTCTCTTTTTTTCCTTCCCCTGTGAGTTTTCATGCTTTCTAGTGAAAAACAGGCGGGTCTTCCTGTTTCTGTAAGGTATCGATTCATGCCACCAACAGCCAGCAGAGGGCAGAGGCAGCTTTCTGAGAGAACTAGAGCCAGTGGCAATGTGAACTCCAATTCCCAGACCTCCCTGGGTTCATCAGGCCTGCTGAGGGCTGTATTAAAGACAACCGCAAATTGCACTCAGTGTCACACCTTTGTAGGGAGATGACTGGTAGAAAAGAAAAGAAAAGAAAAGAAAAGAAAAGAAAAGAAAATGTGAAATCTTCTTTTTTTGAGCACGCTCCTTTAGTTAGACTTTAGTTAGACACAGTTCATCCTGTAAACTGCTGGAACCCTGTGGTGCAGTGGTAATTTGCAGATCAGCACATCGCCGGATTAAATCCCACCCACTGGTGATCGTGAAAACCAGTCACACCAAAATTCAAAAGATCTCTGCATTTGAGTCTGAACCCCCCTCCCCCACCCACCATCCTGTGACAGTTTCATTTGGTTATGATAATGTCCTTTTTCACTGGGGTATAAATATGAGGTGAAACATGTGTCAAATGGCATAGACATTGAGGATGTTTAGCAAGGCGAAAATTTCTCCAGGGTTCATGTTTTCACCTTTGCAGAAGATGGTAGCATTTTGGGGTCACCAAAACTACAAGAGATAATCTCCATGCCAGCAAAGTATTTGGAAGGTGTGTCAGGAGAAATCTTTTTATTTATTATCATACCACAAACATAAGCACATAGAGTTCATGCTACTGAAAAGTCTCCTTAAATCAGGTTCTACAGTCAGATAAGAATGAAAAATAAAGCGTTTTGGCAACAAACACAAAGTGGGTTTAGCATAAAACAAAGGAGATGAAACCAAAAAGAGCCTCATCCCCACTGTTGGGGATGGTGGAGGATCTGTGATGCTTTGTTTTTCCTCCAAATGACTCTTACAGAATGCTTTGTTTAGAAGATTTTAAATATAAATCTGGCTGCATCTGCCAAAAAGTTAAAATTGGGTCATGATTGGATCTTCCAGCAGGAAACATATTCAAAATGTACCAGACAGCAAGCAGATGTGGGCACTTCCGGAAAACATATGGCACTGCTGGGACACTGTCAACACCAGCACGGAATAATAAGTTAATGTGTGGGTTGGATGGTAATATTCAGCATTGGACCAGAAATGAGCCATCTCTCCTCTCTGCTTTCTGAGATGGACAAACCCACATAAAAATTCTTCAATGACCACAGAATCTAACTTTTTTAAGAACATTACACATTTTAACCAAAGGTTCTAATAATTATGGAGAGCTCTGTTTCTTATAATGAGACTTGAATCATTATAAACAAGGAAGCCAGAAGCACCTCTGGTTGGGGGGCTGGTGTGGGGAGGGGGTCATGTGACATTTGCAGGCAAATGAGGTTCATCTCCTGGGCTTAGTATGCTAATGCAGTTTGCTGCTTTGGTCAGAAGGTTCCATTCCAAATTACTTCGTATAAGCTCAACATCTTATGATGATGACGATGGTGGCTCCAGTGCAGATTCTCATTTTATCTCTTTACATAATATGTAAGTTATGAATTCTTTTCAAAAGTGTCAGATATTAAAATGCAATTAGATTCAACTTCTGTTACTGAAATGTCATCCACTGTTTTTCTTATTGATTATAATTGATTTCATGTCATTTTGTAGGCCTTGTTGAAGCTGTGGATCTTAATGAGCAGTTTATCTCAGTAAAGTCTGGAGAAAATGTTACTCTGTCTTGCAAAGTTGAAAAGTCTGATAAAAACGTTAAGGTTTGGTACAAACAACAACTGTGGCAGAAACCTAAAGAACTCACATCAAAGTTAGACAACAAACCTCCCATTGTAACTGATTCAAAATTCAGTCTAAATGGAGATTTTTCGCTGACTATTAAAGAAACTTCTGAAGATGATGGAGGAATGTACTTCTGTGGAAAAAGTGATGGAAAAACATTTACATTTTCTAATATCATAGTCTTAGCTGTGACAGGTAATCGCATTACTGTTTTAACATATAAACTCTTTTCACAATTTCTTTTAATATTTTAGAATCATATTTTGTATTTATTATCTATGTATTATATATGTATTTTGTAGTTTGTATTTATTGTATTTAGAATGTGTTTTTGCCTAGAATAATAAAATGTTTGGTTAATGTCTCACACTAAGAAAAGGTTAAAACAATGCCATGTTTAATCAGGATAAAGTGCAGCTGTAAACAAGACGTTCTTTTTATATTCACCAGGTCATCCTCAGTTAAACATATCAGTGCTCCAAACTCCAGTACAGGGGTCAGTTTCTCCAGGAGAGTCAGTCAGTCTGCAGTGCACAGTCCTCTCTGAGATCAGAGCAGCAGAACTCCGAGTGCTCTGGTTCAGAGCTGCTGCAGGACAATCCCTTCCTGAAATCATTTACACTCATCAGAACAGCAGCAGCCGTCAGTGTGAGATCAGCTCTTCTACACACTGCTCTGTGTACAACTTCTCCAAGAACATCCTCGACCACCACCATACTGGAACTTACTACTGTGCTGTGGCTGCTTGTGGGAAGATCACTGTTGGAAATGGAGCATCAGTAGAGCTGAGTAAGCAATATTTAAGAAGTTTATATAAATTCTATCATGTATGGCATCTTTTAACAGTATTTAAGCACCTGAGAAAATCATATATAAAAAATAAAAACACTGTCAACACTTTAAGGTCTACTATGATGTGAAATGTCAAATTCTTCGTCTATATTTGCATACCAACAATATATCAGTGATGCAGCAGCAGTAAATGCATTCTGTAGATTATCAACAGATGTAATTAACTGTGTGAATAAAATTGTTTGTAATCAGTTGTTTTTCACTTTATTTGGCAGAGTCCAAATTCATATCTATAGATGTTTAACCTGAGAGGAACTGAACATGTAACAGGTCTAATACTGACCATCTCAACATCCTCAACAAGCTGTTATAGACTTAACTGGATCTTAATTGGATTAACTGGATTGGGTTTGGTTAAGGTTAGGGTTAGGTTTAGGGCAGGGTGAGGGTTAGGGTTAGGTTTTGGGTAAGGCTGGGTAAGGTTAGGTTTTGCATAATGGAAGTAGCATATTAACAATACATCTACATAATGTAAGTAATGTATCAACAGAATATCTACAAGATATTTACTTCGGTGTGTTCAGATGCTTCAATACTGATATGTTGTTGATGGGTTACTGATAATTTGTTAAGAGTTTATTAATCATCTACAAAGTATCACTGAAAGTGAAGTGTTAACTAGTCATTAACTGTCTGTTGACTGTGGAATTAAACATTGACTGTAAAATTTCATTTAATAGCATACTTGTAATATCGTTGTGACGTCTTACTTAAACAACATAAACACATGAAATTGATCTGAATTCCAAATGAACAAATATTGTAGTAAATGGTGACATTTGTTTGCATGTCATAAACAACTGATGACTACTGTTACAGTGATTAGTGGACGATTGTATTTAAATGTTAAAAAATATCTATGTGTAACAGAATTTAACAGTCAAATGCACTAAAGAAGGCATTTATCAGCTTTCAATATTAGTCAAATAATGTTGTTTATATTAGCTTGTTGAGCAGAAATGGCCTAAATCCATGTGTATAATCTGTATGATGGTTAAAGGAAGAACTTATGAATGTTTACAAACTACTTAAATATAGTGTGCAAATTAGAAAAATACATTTACGTGCTTTTAATTATTGAATTTGCAAGATCTAAACCACAGTGGAATATCATTATAATAACCACTGCCCTTGATTAAGAAAGATAATGATATTTCTAGTATGCTTGTAACTGAAAGATCACAATTAAATATTTTACTCATTTGTTAACAGTTAATTATTCATTTACAAAAGACTATATTAACACATAAATAACTTTTATAACACATTTCTAAGCAAGCTTACACAAATGTTTCTATTTACTAGGTATATTAATTGGTTGCTAATAGAAAATTAATTATTAGGAAGCCTTAAAAATTGTTAAGACCTTAAAATGAAGTTTACCTGGCAGTAAATTTTCATTTGCTCAAAAATACAGTGATTTTAGAATAAATATGAACAATAATAATAGAGTAATTAGAGACGTTTAATTGTATTAATATTTACATTTGTTATAATTCTAATTTAATACAGCATTCTTACTGGCAAAAGCACTTACTGTTCAGATAAAATTACAAATACCTTTGATGCCTTTTGCAGAGTTCTGTACTTTATTTGAGCATCAAGCATTATTTGTGTGTATAACATAACTCACTTTTTATACATATATTATTCCTTTATTCATATTTTACATTCCATGCTAATGTAGTGCTCAGAGGTGAAACAAGAACTGAGAAACCGTACATATCAAAACATATTCAGGCAGATAAAAGTACAAACTATGTTTAATTAGAGTAAGAGTTGTTGGTTCAGGGTGTTTAAGGCGGTGGTCAGTGGTGTGGTGACTAATGGGCAGTACTGGTTCTCACACACACAAAGACAAATTAGAGTTCTGGTCAGTTTGATGTAAAAATTATATGAATTTGGTTGGATGTTTTATTAACTACAAAGAAATTTGCATATAGAATTATTAAAGAATTATATCCACATAATTGAATATATCCACTGAATATAATAATTACATGTAATTAAGTAATTCAATTAAGACTTCAATTCAAATTCAGTGTAAGTAACACTTGTTTGTTTATCTGTCTCAGAGGGGCCTTTGGATCATGTTGTGACCCTTCTGGGAGCAGCTTTGGGAGTGTGTGTGGTTGTGATCTCTGCTCAAGCCTTTATAATCTGTAAAAGGAGAAACACTGACCACTGCAGTGGTGAGTGGAGGAGCTTAGAGTCTTTTCTTTGCGTTAATCACAGTTCAGATGAACACTGTTTCACTGTTTAAGACCAAATGCCTTTTGATAAAGTGTTACAGAAAGTTTGTAGCTGTAAAGAAATAAGCTTTTGAAATTCACTTTTTATTGTAGTTAGAATGTATTTAATTTACCCAAAATTGTATATAAAACATTCTGAAGATGAAAATATTACTACTAACACACACAGTGTCCTAGACAGTGAGTTTGCCTCAGCTGAGTGAAGTGATCTGGACGAGCTGTAACAGATCAGGAGATCAGCTGATATGTGTTTTAAATGTCTTAAGCAAAACCTTATAGTTACTATGGAACTCAATTGAGACTGAAGGAATATGAAACACTTCATACATTGAAACACTTCATACACTATTCATTTTGTTTCATCAACTGGGTTTGTGCAACTACCTGTTAATGAAAATGGTAAAATTGTTGGCTTGGAAAAAAATATTGCCTGATCTAATCGTGATACTGTATATTCTTTTTCCACCACAGTGAGAAAACAACAAGGCTCAGCAGCAGAGAACACAACCAGTCAGGTAACACCTGTGTTCTGTAACACTTTCAGAAAATGCTGATACTGTTTAATCCACACAGAACTTACTGAACCTTTCGTGTTCTTTCTCACAGACTGCTGAGAGTCTGAATTACGCTCCCATCCATTTCAAAGAGAACAAACCCAAAACTGAACGAGTGAAGAGAGAACAGCCTGAAGACATGGTGTACTCTCAAGTGAGAAGCTCTAATGCTAAAGCTCATCGTTCTCACCGCTAGATCTCTTTCCTTTAGTGAGCAGTAGTGAAGTTTGGGGATGTTTTTATTTTACTGGGATATTCAGAGCTGCACATGATCTCCAGGTTAGTTTAGTGAGCTTTATGTTATTAAAGTCCTGTACTTTGTTTAGGTCCCCACTTTGCTCAAAACTGGGTGAAAAATGTGCAGTTTAGTATGAAGTTTCAGTTCTCTAAAGGAGTGTGTGAGGACACTTTTAGAGTGAGTGTGGTCACTATAATCTTTCAGTTAATGCTGATGGTGTCTGATAATGTGCAGCTTTCATTGGAGTGTGTTGTATTTTTGAGGCTGCCTAAAGGTTTGACAGACAAGTTATTTCAGATTTTAATGAGAATTTTGCCATAATTTGGTCTTATCCAGCCCTGCTCAATTATTAAACACAAAAAATTACACTTCCTGAAAATTAAAATTAATTAAAATGGTAGTTTTAGTATCAGCAGAGCAACAGAGCTGTTTGCACTGTACATGAAGTGTTATCAATCTTAAAATAGATGCAGATATCAGATTTAAGAACTGTTTTTTTCTGTATTGTGTGTGATTTTATTTTTGTCTGATTATGTCTACATATTTTCTGACATAACACATTTGGATATTCCACAAAGAACCCTTGATAATATACATGATAATTGCCATTTGCAAATGGCACACCTAATACTTTAATTGAAATTTTCTAAAACATTAATATAAAATGACATTGTAATATGACAATGTAATATAATAATTTACTGTTAATTCTCATAAACACAGATGTGTTACAAACTGTAGAGCCAAGAATGTCTGAACTTTTATGGCAGTTTAAAACTGGTTCATTTCTTTAATGCAGTGTCTTATTGTTGTTGCACCTGTTTTAGTAAAATCAATATGATCTAGCACAGCTGCACTTTTAGCAAGACAAATGTATGAGAATATATTTCATTTCTCAGGTCACAACATTATTTGCAGTATTAAAAATAGGTCTCACCTCATTTTAATAGTTCATTATAGCCCCTCTGAAGACATACTGTCACTGTCCAAAAAAAACCATTCAGAGAAGCTCCTTTAAACCTTTATTCTGTTGTTTATATGGTTTTAACATAGTAGATATGTTATATATATATATATATATATATATATATATATATATATATATATATATATATATATATATATATATATATATATATATGTATTTTGTGTGTGCGTGTGTGTAGATGTTTGACTGTGAGAGAGCTGGGTGATAATAATCTTTCACATCTGCTAAACAGACGCAGGAGTTCACACTGATGGTGTCTGGTAAGGTGAAGTGAAGTCTTCATGGAACTGTGTTGTTATTTTAAGATCACAAAGAAGTTTAAAGGTCTGACAGGAAAGACATTTCAGACAGTGATGAGCTTTTTTCAGATGTATGAGGTCAGACTGATGGTGCCTGATATGGTGCATCATTAATAGAAGTGTGGCTGTGATGAAAAGTTGTTTTTAATCCTTTTACTTTATTTATTTTTTTATTTTTTATTTTTTTTAAATAAAAGTTTCACCCTTCAGCCGCCTGGTTAACTGAAACTTGTTCTGTGATATTGAGTTTAAAAGGAAGATGAAAAGATAAACTCATCATAAACACACAGTATCTCTACTGCCTTTTAAAATTACACAGAAAATGTATAATTACTTTTTCACACACTGTAAAAGTTTTGAATTTTCATTTTCTATTAGACTGAGGCTTCTAAGTTTCTTTAATAAGGTTTCTTTCTTAATGTTTTTTTTATTATTTTATTCTTGTAATAAATTTACTAATCTTCTTGTGAAAAGTGTTCATGGGTTTTGTAACTCAATAAAAGATCTATATACACACGACTTTGTTGCTATTTTTATTTTACTAAAAAGAAAGTTTAATGCCCTGGCATCATATTTATTCACATGTATAATATATTTAATATAATAATATAAAAAGTACAAACACACCCAACAAATCCTTAAACAATATGTACATTTAAACAATACGTACAATAAAACACACACACACACACACACACACACACATACACACACACACACAAGTGACTATAATAAAAAAAAAAAATCTGGAAATACATTTAAAAAGTCTGGAGTTTCACCATTTGAGTATGAAAACTGCAATAAAGTATAAGCCCACACGTGAATACTGCACATTAATATTTGACCACAAAAACTGAATTAAAATAAAAGATTATTGAACAAATTAGTAAGGATTAAAATCAACAGGTATTTTTTTGCAGGCTGCCCTCTATGTTTAAATCAATCATATAACACATATATAAGTAAGAATTCCATACAAGTACAAACTTAAAGCCAATAGTCTTTTCATTGCCTAATATAGTGATGTACTCTGAAAGGCAGACATATAAGGAAGTGATTTGATGCCCAAAACTATCCATCATAATAATAATCAAACAGAGAGGTTTGTTTTAAAAGAGGCCAGGTGACTTCTGGTGTCCAATCAAAGTTATTAAAGGAGCTGACAAAGAACCATGTGACTTCTTTCAGCCAATGATGTTTAACTAATGAAACCAGACAGTGAATACAGTTCAGTGCTTCAGTCAGTTATTTCCTTTCAGATATTACATGTTTGTAAATGATGGATCTACACAAGATTGGGATTGTCATTTTATATTTCTACAAGATTTGTAAGTTCATAACATTTCCAAACACCAAACATGCAAGTATTTTTAATGATGCTTGAAAAATCATGCTATTTTTAATATTCATGTAGAATGAACTTTTTACAGATTCTACTCAAGCAGTGAGAAATTCAGAGTCGTTGGTCATCTCAGCTGAGCCCGGTGAAGCGGTCACTCTCAACTGTACATTTGTAGACGACTCAAATAAAGATGTTAGGATGTGGTACAAACAAAGACTGGAGCATGCGCCGCTGGAAGTGGGATCAAAGTTAGAAGACAAGCCGGCTGTGTTCGCAAATAAATTTGACAAATCGAGATTTAAACTCAACAGAATTGCAAGTGGCATTTCTCTCAGTATTGAACGTGTCACTAAAGAAGATGAAGGAATGTACTTCTGTGGAGAGACTGGAAAGAAAACACTGGACTTTTCTACTGCTACATTCTTAGCGGTCACAGGTAACATAACTGATTTGTTTTCTGCTTCACTGATCTACTTTAGTAGAATATAATGGACACTGAGTTGCCCTTGTGTTTGAAATATGCCGTAAAAATAAACATTTCAGTTTTCTTAAGATGTAAATTTCTTTTCTCTGTCAATGCTTTGTAAATATTTAAAATCTTTTAACTGAGGCGAGTCAAATACATTGTTACTATTAACATTAATTTAAATATTTCATAAATATTTACGACTTCCCTCTTCAGATTCACTGTGGATGCAGTTATGTCATTGTTATGCTATTATTACATGGTTAATATATTGTTATTGAGCATTTCTACTGAATACAATTTCTTACACTGTCTTTATAATATTTTCTAGGACAGTCAGACATATCAGTGCTCCAAACTCCAGTACGGGGGTCAGTTTATCCAGGAGAGTCGGTCACTCTGCAGTGCACGGTCCTCTCTGAGATCAGAGCAGCTGAACTCCGAGTGCTGTGGTTCAGAGCTGCTGCAGGACAATCCTTTCCTGAAATCATTTACACTCATCAGAACAGCAGCAGCCGTCAGTGTGAGATCAGCTCTTCTACACACAGCTCTGTGTACAACTTCTCCAAGAACATCCTCGACCACCACTATACTGGAACTTACTACTGCGCTGTGGCTGCTTGTGGAAAGATCATCTTTGGAAATGGATCATCAGTACAACTGAGTAAGCAATATTTAAGCTATAGTTATTTTATGTGATTGATGTAGAGCATAGAATTGAACTTTTTTCATAGAACTGTGCAGAAGTTTTAAGCCTCTGAGAAAATCATATTACTGTTTAGCTGGACAGTAAGTGTTTATTTGTCTAAAAACACAAATATTTGAATAAATACAAACAATATATACATACATAAGTAGAAAATGGCAAAAATGGAGATATATTGGAAGTTTTCCTTTGCTGGTTGTATATAATGTTTCGTTGGTGACATGGAATCTTGAAAAAGATTTTATATCAAATTTTATTAGAGCTTAAACTTTTATAGAGTAGAATTATACATTTATTTATTTATTTATTTATGTATTTAATTTTTATTTATATATATATATATATATATATTTCATTCAGAAGACCCCGTAGGTCCTGTTGTGATCTGTCTGGGGGCAGCTTTGGGAGTGTGTGTGGTTGTGATCTTTGCTCAAGCCTTTATAATCTGTAAAAGGAGAAACAGTGACCACTGCAGTGGTGAGTGGAGGAGTTTACAGTCTTTTCTTTACATTAATCTCAGTGTTCAGTTTATCTTTTTCCCTGTAATAAACAGTAATAATAATAATAATAATAATAATAATAATAATAATAATAATAATAATAATAATAATGGGCCTCATTCACTAATGTCATTCTAGGTTTTCACGTAAATTTGCTCTTCTGATGATTCTGAACAGTTTGCACCTTTGCGCTCTTGAGTCTGCAGTTCTCTTTGTACTGAGGAACAAATCCCAAACATGTAAATTAGGGGTGCGGGAAAAAAATCGATTCTTGGATGCATCGCGATGCGGACGTGAACGATTCTGAATCGATTCACAAAAATCGATTTTCTAAATATTTATAACGTAATGTTGACGGAACGCAAAAGGCGGAACTTGAAGTGCGGAAGTGCAGCGCCCGGACAGTTTGTGGCGGCACATAACAAAAACACTACTGGATGAGTGAGAAATCCTACCGGCTCCCCCTGCATTAAAGCCAGGTTAGGTCAGGAGTCACAACCCAAATGATAAGAAGAGCCATTTTGTCCTCAAAAAATCAAACCACCTTGGGAGCCACAGCATTTCATGTCCAGTATGTTTCAGTATGTGTTAATGTTCTAGTATAGGCTAAACAATATAAACGAAAACGCAGATTTACTCCGCTCTGCTTTAAGATTCAGCTACAGCCGCTTTCCTCCAACTCCGCCAGAAAACTTTTCCTCAAAACTAGAGCAGTTAAATGTCTCTCAACGTCCGACTGTTTTACGAGGCTGAAGTCGCTTCTTATTCTCCAGCTTCTTGTCCGAATTTTCCCGTTCCACCTTAAATTCTAACTGAGGCGCCGAATGTAAATGCGGCACCATTTAAGGTGGAACGTGAGAATTCGAAAGAGAAGCGACTTCAGCTTCGCCACTTTTTAGTGTTTGACAGTCTCTCATTGCAGATTTAACGTACCAGGAAACCAACTGCGCTGCTTATAAATGCGAATAACGCATCGCTGCTATGCGACCTGCAGTCCGCGCGCCGGATCTCAGTCGTTGTGAAGCAGAGCTTTCGCGCTATGTTGCACACGACCCGTCTCAAACATACTTTACAACGAGACCAAAACCGAAGTTATAAAATCACTAAAGAAAACGGGTAGAATAGCTGTAACGCGCTGCGTGGAGATCCATCACCACTGGATGTTATTTCACCGTAACTGCGCATTTTATCGCAGATGAGTGGCAGCAGCGTCTCATGTGCTCTAAACAAGAGCACTGAATGAGAGCCTTCTAGTTCACTTGCCACATCACTTCCATTTGATTTATTAAAAAAGATATTGGAAGTAAATTCATTATGGATCATTACAAATACTTTGCTTTACAAGTACCAAGTCACTTTAAATATCAATAACACAGAGTCACCTAGTCACTTTAAAATGAATATTATCTCTATATTCTGTGTATAATTTGTGTATATTTAATATATTTCAGTTGGTTTTTCTTGTATTTTTATTGTTACTTATTTACTTTCTGTAGAGTGATTAGCTGAGCCTTACCACAAGCATTTCAATGCATAAATGTCCTGACATGTTGTGCAAATGACAAATAAACTTGAAACTTGAACTCGAAACTTGAGCTCCCACAGTGAGAAAATATAAATGCTATATAGAAAAAAAGATGCATCGAGATGCATCGATAATCGTTTTATAATCGCATCACAGCCCTCTGAATCGTAATCGAATCGTTAGGTGCCTAGAGATTCCCACCCCTAATGTAAATATTGGTGAATGTCAGAGTTTTTTGTAAAAACTGAGTGAGTTAATTGAGGTGAACAAAATGCTACAGAATTTATCACCACACTGCTGAATTTCTAACACATTTCCCTCTCAATGCATTTAAAGGCAAAACATGTCAGTCTGTCATCCAAAGTTTCCCAGAGATGCTGCAAGACCAGGTATGTTACCTAAAATATATATATATATATATATATATATATATTACTGGCCTGGATCACTACTTCTCTCCTACTTGGTTATGCATCCCTGTGCCTTTGTGTGTGTGTGACTGTGCTGGAATGTGGGAGTGAAGCACAAAGTTAGTGGGGCACTTAACACACTGGTGTATCTGACAGAAGGGGAGCCGTCATTAAGAAAACTGGATGCATGATGATACAAATGATATATGTAACAGACTTTCGGGGCTCCACCAAGTACTGGACGTGTTACAGTTACAGATACAGAAGAAAGTGCTGCTGCTCTACATAGAATGCATCGCTGTGAAAGTGCTGATAAACCGGCAGATTCATTTTTGCACTATACAGATAAAATTTGCTTACCATGCTTGGCAGCAGTTTACTAACTTCAACAGTTCTGAACCTGCGACCTTCCAGTTACTGGCTCAGCTCTCCTACCACTGGACTACCAGCCACCCCTTCTCGAATAGCTTGAAAGAGTTTGTTTTTATTTTAGTTATAGTCTGAAACAGCAAACAGAAAGCAGCGCCAATCTGTCCTGGAGATTTTAACACTTTTTTTAATGAACGATGATAACTTGTTGAATTATTCCATAATAGTTATCAATAGATATGCATTTCTCTTAATTATCATCATATTTACAATTATTGGAGTATTTTGATAAAATATATAAAGCAACATGCAGATCATACCCAGCATTTTAGTAACACAATGGAAAACAAAATCTCATTGTGAAAGGAACCAAAACTGAATATTTATAATATCATTATTCCTGTTAATAATAGTATTTGTTTTTGTTTTTATATTCTATAAAGCATGAGATCAACATTACAAGTCTTATTGTTAAAACAGTTTTAAAGTGCTGTTTAGCGTTTTGAGCATATGATACACATCATCAGTTGACCCCATATGTGCTATATTTACAAAAATCTCTAGAAACTCGCTCATATAATGTTTCTACTGAGGTCAGAGGCACTAAAATGCGGAATTCAGCCACAGCAGCATAAGTGAGGTCAGGTACTGATGCTGGATGATCAGTTCTGGATCACTTCAACATATCTTAAAAGTACTGGTTGGAGTTCCATTACTACACAGTTCAATACTGGGTTCAATACCCCTCTATTCGATACTTGGCTCTGGGCATGGTGACCTTAGGCTCATGTGAGGCTGCTTCAGAGCGTCCTGTTCTACTGGCTTTGCTTTTCTATTAGATTATACAAGTTGGAAATTATTAAAGCTCTGTGTAAACATTGTAACTCATGTCTGCAATGTATGGATCTTAATGGTTTAGTGAAAATCAAATGTAAACAATAATTTACTAGCAAACTTACTTTCAGAAAATAAAATATATTAACAAAATAGTGTGTGAGAGAGAGAGAGAGAGAGAGAGAGAGAGAGAGAGAGAGAGAGAGAGAGAGATTAGATTGATACTTGCCTTTTCATGGAGTTGTACTAATCTTATTAACTTATTTGTATATTTATTTGTTGATTTATTCTGAAATAGGACTCAGATGAAGAGTTCAGTTTTGCACCTTTGAATTTCTCTGACAAAAGACGACTGCTGAAGGAAAATGTTTTCACCAGAGTGAGATTCTTCCCTGTTTCTGACTACAGAGCAATCCAGAAACACAATATTGCTGAAAAATGAAGAAAATAAATCAAATTCATTTAAAAGTATTCATAAAAATTGTCAGTGTTTTCTAGACAATTTTGTGTAACTATCTGGCATTCAGTGATGTTTATGTACATTTACTCTCATGATCATAAATATAAATCTGTCAATGAAAATTGTCACATTAAAGAAATTATTTTTTTTCAGAAATCTTCTTTTGATATTATTGTGGCTACTATACATATATATATATATATATATATATATATATATATATATATATATATATATATATATATATATATATATATATATTTACAATGACTTTATAAATGAAACAATGGAAGGAACCATGTATTTCTAAGATAACAGCAATATGCAAATCACATATAGAGGATCAGAATACAGTGTGACCCAAACAACTTCTGGTTGTCTTCCACAAAGCAAGTAAGACTCCAGCGGCCCTGGTCATTAATAATTAGGAAGAGGAAATTATGAACAGCTTCAAGTTTTTCTAAAATTGGAAGAGAATGTAATTCTAACCTTTTTTGTCTTGATGCAGGTAAAGTTACAAAGCTATGATAGAAAACATGCTCACTTTTGCCATTTACTATCTAATAGTCATGGTACAATTGAGCAAGACAACCTTGAGCATTGTGAGATTTTATATGAACCCTTGCACTACCTTGAGGAATTCCGTCCCAGACCTAATCTCATTCTCTCCCATTCCACCAAAATGTGGCACACTGTGTGGAATTAATCAGAAAATACTTTTTTACTAACTATAATTTAATCAGGAATCTATTTGCTGCTAACTGCTAACAAGCCGCTGAGGCAAATTAAGTTTCGGCCTCTTTTCCAATGAAGTTGGTATCACTGACCTAGAGAAGTTCTTGAGCAACGTGATAAATTGAATTGAATTGAAGGCTTTTGTCTTCAGGACAAGTGTCCTTCTAACTTTGTGCCTTGAGTAGTTTCTGTGCTGTGGTGTATCAGTAATATTGAGGGATGTGCTGATCTTCACTTCCTGCCTCAGTAAAGGACCTGGCAGTAGTCTGGAGAAGATCCTTCCACCTCAGCAGTTGAAGCATTTCTGAGAACCACTGATAGTGGTGGGCATTTGTGTGGGGAAGTCAGTTCTTCCAGGTTCAGCTCACAAGTGATGTCATATGCTGGTTCATTTATCAACATACCATCAACTCTCAACATCATTCTGTTTTGTATTTCCACAACACAAGTAATGAAATGATTCTGACCTGAGCAACTAAAGGACAGCAGTAGATCCAGACCAGAGAAATACTTTCTTTTTGGTGTGTGTGAACAGAGCACAGCTTTACTTTCGGTGCGTGTGAACAGGACACAGCTCTATTTTCGGTGTGTGTGAACAGGACACAGCTCTATTTTCGGTGTGTGTGAACAGGACACAGCTCTATTTTTGGTGTGTGTGAACAGGACACAGCTTTATTGTAAATAGGTATTGTGATGATGTAAAGTACTCTTTTACACATCACATTATAATGACTGGTTGTTAACACTTACCTGTACTTGTTTGAAGACTGGTCATCCTTGCTTTGAGGAGAAAAGAGAACTGAACGGGTTCACCTGTGTTTTACTCACCTGGATGAGTCCATCCTCTGTAGAGGAGGAGGGAAGGACAAAACCTGTAAGAAGAGTAAAACGGTTTAATAAGTGTACACTGTATTGTATATGAATATTAATGACGTTGTGAATATAAATCTGATCAGTAAGGAAGATCACGAATTATTTACTGTTGCATGTAAATATATTTAAATAGATTAAGCACTTGTTTTAACCCAGGCCAGTAATGGTATGTTCTAGGGGAGGAGCACCCCAAATATAAGAAGCATTACTGGAGGGTACAGGGAAAGATCCCTTCTTTCAGCTCGGTGGAGGTTTGAAGGTGATGAGTATAGACCTATATGACTTTGCAGTCATTGGTCCATTGTATAGTTGTAGAGACTATTTTCGTTTTGTTTTCATTTGTGATGTGTGCGCGTGTAAATACGTATATAAGCCTGAGTGTTGGTGTGTAAATAAAGGTGACGGGAAGAAGAACTCTTGGAACAGCTGTATTTTATTCCAGTTACTTGGACCACTTGCCCGACGCTACCCATAAGGTGTGTCCCCTGCCACGGCATACTGCCAGGTTGAGGAACGCACTTTATCACAGGTATGTATGTGTAATTAGTGTAGAACAACTCAAGCCTGGCTGTTCTTACCAACCTTGGAATCATTGGCTCAATGTGGAAGTGGTTTAAGTCCTATCTGGATGGGCACTCATATATCAGATAACATGGAGAGGGTCCACATTCTTTCCATGCAGGCTCATCACGGGTGTCCCACAAGGCTCGAGGCTGGGTCTTCCTCTCTTTTTACTTTACACTGCACTGTAAAAAAAAATGTAAAAAAAATGATAAAATGTCTGGCAGCAAAAGTTGACAAACACTTCCCTTAATTTTACAGTAAAATTCTGTACAGTGGATTACTGTAAAATTACAGCGTTTCCCTGTAAATACTGTTTTTTTTGTGTGTTTTTTTTTTTTTTTGGTTACTTTACAGTTTTTATACAAGAGTCAATATACTTAATTACATGAATATTCTGCAGTTACCTTTTACTTCAGCAAATAAAAGAATGGTGTACTTTAATTTTACATAAATACACAACAGACAATACGCTATTGCTCTTTTAAAACAATGTAAAATCTTTGGCCAGAACTATAAAACCTCAACGATAATACATACTTTCAATCTTTTTATTTTGACAGTTGAACTTTAACAATCATGACATCACCCAGCAACCTAGCATTCAAAATAAACACCAAATGGGGCAAAAAGATGGCTACTGTGAATCTTTCTACAGTTTTAAAGATTTATAATGTCTGTCTAAAACATAAACAATGTGTGTTAGAGCACTAATTACCTCCTGTATCATTCTTGATTTATCTGTAATTTGGACTGTAACATACATACATACATACATCATCTAAACCGCTTATCCTTCTGGGTCGCGGTGGGGTGCTGGAGCCTATCCCAGCTGTCATTGGGCGGAAGGCATTACTAAAAGATTCAGATTGGAACTGCATGAGAAAAAAGTTTCTTGATTTCATTTATACATGCTCAAAACAAAGCCAGCAACCTGAAGGACTAAGCAACCACACTACACTCAGGACTTAGCTACACTGAATATGCCTGTAGAATGAGGACTTAAAGCTAATACAAAGCACAAGGGTCAATAACAGAACCTAGTACTGCATCAGTTATTACAGTCCTTAAAAGGGGTCTACACACAGTTGTTAAGGGCATTTTCAACAATGACAGCAAGATGGAAAGTGTGCTGACAATACAAACCCCCCAAAAATTGGGACATTTTGTAAAATGCAATACAAACAAGAATCTGTGATTTGTTAATTTTCTTAAACTTTTATTTAACTGACAAAAGTACAAAGAAACTGTTTTTAATGTTTTGGCTGACCAAATTAATTATATTTGTGAACATATATAGATTTTGAATTTGATGCCTGAAACACACTCAAAAAAAGCTGAGAAATCACTGCTGAATGTGTGTGATCTTCAAGCCCTCAGATGGCACTGCACGAGAAGGGATGGAGTACTTTAGGAGTCCTTCGGAAAACCGTCGTAACTTAACAGTCTGCCGCTACATCAAGAAATGCAACTTTAAAACTCACTGTGAGGAAGCTGTACATCAGTTCTATGCAGAAACATTGGTAAATTCTCTGGGCCCAGGCTAATCTCAGACGGTCTGAAAAACAGTGTGCTGTTGTCATATGAGTCCATCTTGTGTTTGGGAAAAATGGATGTTGAATTCTCCATGCCAAAGATGAGAGGGACCATCCAGACTTTTGTCAGTGAAAGGTGCAAATAGTGACATCTGTCATGGTAGAGGTCATCAGTGCCCATGACAGGGGTGACTTGAATATGTGTGAAAAGTACCACTGACACATTTATTGGGATTTTAAAGAAACATATGCATCAAGACAACATCTATTCCTTGGAAGTCCATGATTATTTCACCAAGACAATGCCAGGCCTCATTCTGCATGTGCTCCAACAGCATGGCTTACAGGCCTGGCTGCAGTCCAGATCTGTCTCCTATTGAACATGTATGGCACATCATGAAGAGCAGAATCAGACAACAACAACCACAGACTGTTGAGCCAGAACTCAATTCTGAGTTCTAATCATGAATGGGCAAAAATTCCACTTACAAAACTGTAAGTGAAAACATAGGAAATCTTTTCTTTATACTTTTGTCAGTTAATACAGATTCAAGAGAATTAACAAATCACAGATTCTTGTTTTATCGCATTTTACAAAATGTCCCAACTTTTCTGGAAATAGGGTTTGTATTTTAAGGATTGGGACTTCATGCTGACATCAAATATCTCTTAGAATGACATGCCACTTTTCATTCTCACTGTGCACTTTTGTTTTCTTCAGTCTCAGTCCACTCACCCTTAACCGTCTCTACATAACAGTTTAAAGAACTCGGAGAAAGATGAAAGTCATCTTAGGAGGCATCCATAAGGAAGATAATTCCAGGCTTTGGATACTGTGGACGGTTTCTCTCAATGATCTTGCTAGCTACCATTAAAGCAGTGACCTCTGCCTCACCTGTGAAAAAAGAAAATCAAACATTTATCTGTTTTAGCCTGTAACCTGACACATCCTATGCACTTTTAAATCAATTTAGCATGCATACCACTGTAACGTAAAATGCAAAAAATCTGAAATCATGATAACTGTTGTTGTGACTGCTATAATCTGTAATTGTAGTATTAATATCTGAATTAGCTGATCAACTGGAAGTTACTGACTTTTGACTGATTTGCCACTTTTCTCTGCTCTATGTCATTGTAACTCTAACCTTTAAGATTTTGTTGTCTGATAATTAAAATCTTGAATCATAGTATTTGCAAGCTGTAGCGAGAGCTGAACGATTTGGGAAAAATATCTAATTGCAATTTTTCTGACCGATATTGCAATATGGATCTTCTATAAATTAATATAAATTATATTTTTTTGGCCAAGACGACCAGAATATCCACTTTTCTGGCTTGAGGCACGGGAACACTGACTGAGCAAGAGTACCATTTACTGGTTATCACATATACAGCACATGCATTGGTCAAACTCATACAGGCAGTTCAC